TCTCAAGACTGACTTGAGCATTGGAGGCTATTCACCGGAAAACCCCTCGGTGTGAGAGTTATTTGCAGGTTCGGCATTTTACCAGCAAAGAAGACGATCTTGGAGCGGTTTCCAACTGGTCGGGCATTTACACTTGTATTAACTTTGGTTTTAGGATATACATATTATCAAACTAATGAACCATCACATATCAAAAATGAATAACAACTTTATTATCGAAAGTAACAGAAAAACCGTTCATAAACAACTTAGAAACTGAAATAAAATTCTTTATAAAACTAGGAACATAGAGACAATCCTTCAAAATCAAAGTCCTATCTAAACCAAAGTCTAAGTAGATGTCTCCCACTGCAACTGTTGGCGCTTTACTAGCATCGCCCAACTATATGGTAACTTCTCCTTCCCTAAGTCGCTTGGTTTCTTGGAACACCTGCAAATTATTGCAGACATGATAAATGGCCCATGTATCTGTTAGAGGTATGCTGTAAAAGCTGTGTTTTGCAGATTCTATCAATTCCATTTTGATCTGGCAATCATGATCGGTCAAAGTACATATGTTTGCAGTTTATTTATTTATGCAATACATACTCCATTTCTTATATTGAGGTAGTGTGGTTCGAAGAGTTTCGAACAGAAAGATCACCTATCGGTTCCTTATATGACTAAACAATTCGTTCACAGTATAGACTGGCAGTGAGACCCCACATGGAAAAAGACTGTAGTGTATTCCCGATTCAGTTGATCTTGGACTGAAGGATTACACTAGCACTTATGTTAAGTGTTGAACAGGACCACGGAAGGATAAGGATATTAGACTCACTGATCGTTGTCGTAACCTAGACCTTCAGTGATTGATGCGTTCTCTTAAGCTGTAAAATAATATAAAATAGGCATATATTATTATTTCTTATTTATTTGATTTACAAAGTGATTCATATTCCGTTAGGATGACATACGAGGTATTTTGGTAAGTAAGAATAATTATATGATGTGCTATTATAAATTATTTACAGTCACTATGTTCCGGTGCGCTGGATTGATGACGTCCCCGAAATGAGCTCAGAAAGGAACATTATGTTAAGCCCTGCAGGTAGACGATTGTCTGACATAATGGTTAAAAGATGAGTGGTACTAATTTCGGAAATGAATAAGAAGTTGATTAATTATTTTGTCAGTAATTTAATTAATCAATGGACGTTATATCTTAAACATAGGGAGGTAAATCGATCGATCAGATTAGACTAATGTTCGACTTGAAAGTTTGACTAGCCTCTCAAATTTCGAGCCAAACTCGAGCGTTTGTTTTTTTTTTTTGAAGTCGAGCTGAGACTCGAGCAAGATGGACTCGTCAAGCTTGAGCAGTCGTAAAAAATATGTGTATGACTCAATTAGACTAATGTTCGACTCGACTTGTTTGCAACTCTAATTGATGTCGAAATCAGTGACTCAAATAAAGTGATAATAATTAAAATATTATGATATTCTTTCATTAATTATTAAATGACAAAATTCAAATATTTTAAGTCTTAATAATTAAAATATTAAACTTGATCATGCTAAGAAACATATTCATCGTGTACAAAATCAACATATTCATCGTGTTAATAGACATATTCATCTGAGAAAGAAACATATTCATTTTATAATTTAACATATTTAGCTGATAATAAAACATATTCATCTTATAACATAACATGTTAATCTTATAAGTTGACCTGTTCATTTTACAAAGAAACATATTCATCTTGTACAAAATCAACATATTCATCGTTGATGTTCATTTTACAAAGAAACATATTCATCTTGTACAAAACCAACATATTCATCGTGTTAAGAGACATATTAATCTGAAAAAGAAACATGTTCATCTTATAATTTAACATATTCAGCTGAAAATAAAACATAGTCATCTTATAATTTGACATGTTCATTTTACAATAAAACATATTCATCATGTTAAGAAATATATTAGATACAAAATCAACTTATTCATCGTGTTAATAAACATGTTCATTTTATAATTTAACATATTCAGCTGATAATAAAACATTCATCTTATAGCATAACATGTTCATCTTATAAGTTGACATGTTCATTTTACAAAGAAATATATTCATCATGTTAAGAATCATATTCATCTTGTACAAAATCAACATAAATAAAATAGAGCGGTACATTTCTACGCTAGCGACATAATTTCCTCTGGGCCATTATGGTTATGTTTTTCTACGGTTTTGCACAAATGTCCTAGTTGACGATATGAACTTCGCTCGTTTTTCAGTTTTGTACGTTTTGCTTTCATTTCATTCCCATAGAGGGGTGTAGTAACATCAAATCGGTTTGTAGTTTATTAAGATTTATTTTGAGCAAGCAATTGTTTGATTATAAGACTGGAAAATGTGAACTGAAACATGATTTTCGAACTCGATTTTAATATGATTAAGGTTTGAAACTTTTGTTATTCAGGAGATATATTGTGCAAACCAAAATGTCATGATATTTTAATTATTATCACGTTATTTGAGTCACTGATTTTTAAGATGGCCGCTAAATAAATAGTGAGAATTAAAATTTAATGTATCAAATCGTTTTATTTATTGATAATATCTTAAGATTTTTAAATGTTTATGGTTTTCTTAATAAATTGAGAGTTTATTTGCGCATAACTGTCCTATCAAATAAGATAATTGTTTCAGTAATATTTATTTAATTTGTAAAATGAACATGTCAACTTATAAGATGAATATGTTTTATTATCAGCTGA